CCCACTTTTTTGTTGAAATTATCAATTTTCGCCTAAAAACTATGTTCTAAATTGATCAATTTCAATGGATTTCGGCATAAAAAATAGGCTCCGCCCACTTTATTGATATATAAGATTTTTTCGGACAAAAAACTCGAAAAAGTCAATTTGAAAAAGGCTGGAAATTGAAAATTTACGAAATTTGAATTTTTTGAATTTCATGGCCGAACTTTCTCAACGTGACTTTTCTAGGCCACTATGCTAACGTGGCCTAGAAAACATACTAGCTGAATATTGGACTGTTTCTAGGCCATTCAACATGGTGGCCGAACTTTTGCAAGTTTTCTAGGCCACCAATTTTTCTTGGGCTAGAAATGGTCCAATACGAACCAAGTACGTTTTCTAGGCCATTTCAACGTTGTGGCCCAGAAAACGCAGCACACACACACACACACACACACTTAAATTTGCAGCGCCTCCGCAGTCGAAACATGTCCCGAGGGGCGTTTGAAAACGAGATGAAAGGTGTGAAGACGCACTTGAATCGAGTGAAAGACGCGAGACAAAACGATTTCGAGGAGAAACTACAAGTGGAATTGGATGAGGAAGTGGTACGGTATCGACGGCAACAATTGAACAATCTTCATGCGTTGGAGGAGAGGCTCGATGATGAGGTTGGTCTGGAAATCATCGATTTCAGAGCTCAAAATGCCTATTTTTCTGCGAAAAAATTGGCAAAATCGTGTTTTTAAGCCCCAAAAAACCACCTATTTTAGGTCAGAAATCGCATTCGAAAAGGGGAAATTTTGGGTTTTTAGGCTTAAAAAAGGTCCCAAATGAGCCAAAAATCTTAAAATAATCCATTTTTTGATGTAAAATGGCTTAAAATGCAATTTTTGACATATAGCTCAAATTAGGTCGAATTTTGGGATTTTAAAAAATTGGAATTATGGAAAAAAATTATCTGAAAATGTCGATTTTTGGGCTAAAAATTATCTGAAAATGTCGATTTTTGGGCTAAAAATTAGCTTAAACTGTCGATTTTTGACGGAATTTAGATTTTTAGAAAAATATAAAAAAGAGCAACTTTTTAGCTCAAATTTTGTGATTCTTCATTTCCAGAGTCTAAAAAACCTAAACCCTGAAAATTGGAATTTTTGGCGATTTTTAGAGCGATATGGGATTTTGCAAATGCCCCGAGGAACCTCTAAAATGACCGATTTTTGACCCTAATTAGCTCAAATTTCGTGATTTTTCACTCCCAAACCCCTCAATTCATCAATTTTGCGCCTAATTTGCAGGAAGTGAACGTGCAGGAGCGTCAAATGGACACCCGTCACGGACTGCTTTCGAAACAACACGAAATGACGAGAGAGCTCGAAATGCAACACTTGAATGAGCTGCATTCAATGAAGAAGCGACATTTGGAGACACAGCATGAGGCAGAATCAGCCAGTCAGAATGAGTATACGACACGGCAGCAGGAAGAACTCAGGAAGAAACATGCCATGCAGTCCAGGCAACAGCCCAGGGAGCTTAAGGTGAGCAATCCAGGAGCTTTTTAAGCCGAAAAAACGAGAAAATTTCATTATAATCAAGCCCCGCCCCTTTTTTTCTAGAGCATTCTGGACATTTTCAGCTTAAAAAAAACGACTGAAAAATCGATGAAAATTGACCCAAAACTGACTCCGCCCACTTTTTTTTCTGATTTTCGACAAATTTCCAATCGAGCCAACAACCCAGAGAGCTCTTTTCAGCAAAAAAAAAATGCCTGAAAAAACGACTTGTGCTTAAAAACTATGTTCTAAATTGATCAATTTCAATGGATTTTTGCATAAAAATAGGCTCCGCCCACTTTATTGACATATAAGATTTTTTATTTTGTGGAAGTAGGCTCCGCCCACTTCCTTCCCCAAAAAAACAGAAAGAAAAATCCAAAAAATGACTGAAATTCTGCGCGAAAATTGACTGAAAATTGGTAGTGGGCGGAGCCTATTTGGTGGTGGTCTCAAAATTTCAGCTGTATTCGGCTCAAAATTTACAGACTGTTAAATTACAATTAAGCTCCGCCCACTTTCTCGAAAAAATCAAAATTTATTGAGAAAATCCCCTATGAAAAATCGGGGTCAGTTTTCAACGATTTTGGTCATCAAAATTAAGCTCCGCCCCTTTTCAGCCAAGCCAAAAAAAAACGACTGAAAACAGTTTTTTTTTAAGTGGGCGGAGCTTAATTTTAGAAATTTCCGCGCATCAAAAATAAGCTCCGCCCACTTTCAAAGAATGCCGATGATGGGTAAAATTAGGCTCCGCCCTCCTTATTCCTAGAAAAATCACACCTTTTCTGCCAAGAAATAGGCTCCGCCCATTTTTTCTGAATTTCAAAAATCAAATTTTTATATACTGAATTTGTGAGAAAAGTTCAAAATTTCGAAAAATCGGATATTTGAAAAAATTCAAGAAAGTTAAAAATTTTCGGTCCAAAAAAAGGGGACCGTGCTTATTGTGGCATCAAAAATAAGCTCCGCCCACAGGACATATACACAACGAAAATCAGTCAAAATTTTCAACAATTTTCGATCCATAATATGGAAAATTGGGCTTTCGGGAATAGGCTCCGCCCACAAAGAAGAACGAATTTTCTTAAAAATTGACCCCCAAAATTCAACTATGCTCCGCCCACTTTTTTTTTCGAAATTTCGATAGTTTGTGAAAGAAGAATTTGGCCTAAAAATTATAGATTTTTTTTCTCATTTATGGGTCCAAAAATTGGAATTTCGACTAATTTTGGCTCAGAATTTACAGATTTAGGTCCAAAATATGTCTAAAATTTCTCTAAAAATCGATATTTTTGCAGATTCAAGAAGCGCAAATCCGCAAGCAATATCGTCAGGTAGTAAAAACGCAAACGCGTCAATTCAAGCTCTACCTGACACAAATGATTCAAGTAGTGCCGAAAGACGAACAAAAAGAGCTGACGTCTCGTCTGAAACAGGACCAAATGCAGAAAGTCGCTCTTTTGGCATCACAATACGAGAGTCAAATCAAGAAAATGGTCCAGGATAAGACGGTGAAACTGGAGTCGTGGCAAGAGGATGAGCAACGGATTCTGAGTGAAAAACTGGAGAAAGAGCTCGAGGAGCTGTTGGTTTATCAAAAGAAACAGAAGGCCACGTTGGAGGAGCAGATTCAAAAGGTTAGTATCGATTTTTGGCGAAAAAATCTGTTAAAAATTGATCAAGCTCCGCCCACTTTCTGGAAGCAACGACTTTTCGCCGAAAAAATCCGGTTGAAAATGATCAATTTTGAGGGGTTTTGACATTACAAACAGGCTCCGCCCACTTTCAGATGCGAAAAATCGATTTTTGACAAAAAATCGTTGATTAAATTTTCGCGGATTTTAGAATAAGCTCCGTCCCCTTTTTACGGAAAATCAACAAAAAATCGGACAATTTTAAGGATTTTCGAATTAAAAATAGGCTCCGCCCACTTTTCAGATATCTCGAAATTTTGCGAGAAAATCAGATAGGAATCGGTCAATTTTTAACGATTTTTCGTCAAAATTGAGCTCCACCCCTTTTAAAGAAAATAGGCTCCGCCCACTTTCTAGAAAAAAAAATCAAAATTTATCGGAAAAATCGGTCAGGCACAATGATTTCGGCCGCAATTTAGAAGCGCCGCCCACTTCTAAAAAAATAAAAATAAAAATAGAATAGGCTCCGCCCACAATTGAGAACACAAAAATACAAAAAAACGCTGAAATTTAAATATTAATTTTTTTTTAGAAATCTGAAAAAGTGTAAAAATCGAGAAATTCGAAATTTCGAAAAAACTGGATTTTTTCAAAAATCTTTCAAATTCACCAAAAAAATTTTTGGCCAAAATCCGTTTTAAATTGATCGATGAATTAATGGTTTTTGGGCATTAAAAATAGGCTCCGCCCACTTTCAAAAAAAAAAAGAATCTGATTAAAATCGGTCAATTTCCACAAATTTTGGTAGCTATGTATAAGCTTCCAAGACAAGCTCCGCCCACTTCCTGAGATAGTCGATTTCTGGCAAAAAAATCCGAGTAAAATTATCTATTTTAGTCGATTTTGACATTGTTAAGCTCCGCCCACTTCCTCAAAGAATCCCATCAAAAAATCCGTCAGTTTTCAAATCCTTCAAATTCATCACAAAACGGGTTTCTGATAGAAAAAAGGGGGCGGAGCTTAGCTATCTGAAGTGATCATCTTTAAAAAATTTCCAAACTTTTTGCAGGAACGAACGACACTCGAAGAACGAATCAACGCTCGTCGGGCGCTCCTGGAGCAGAAGATTCTGGAAGAACGAGAGCAAATGGCCGAAATGCGTCGGCTGAAAAAAGAGCAGATTCGTGATCGACACAGTCAAGAGAGGCATCGGCTGGAGAATCAATTTGTGAGAACTGGATCGACGAGTCGAAGTTCCGGAGGAGCGACGAATTCCAGTTCTATTCAAATGGCAATGTAGACTTTGAGCTGCTGTTCTGAGAGTCATTTTGAGTCAAAATTCGTTATAATTCAGCCATTTTGAGTCGAAAAATCGGAAAATTTCAGCTGATTTGAGTCAAAAGTTGCTAATTTAGAGCCATTTTATGCCAAAAAATCATTGAAATTAGGCTATTTTGAGTTCGAAAAATGCGCCAAATATGGTCAAAATTGGGCCATTTTTAATCCAAAATCGTTTAATTTGAGCTAGTTTGAGCTTAAAATATAGTCGAGTTTGCGCCTTTTTGTGAGTCAAAAAGGTCAATTTTGAGCTTTTTTTGATCATTGAAATGCTCCAAAAATGGTCAATTTCGAGTCATTTTGAGCTGAAAAAAATCGTTGAAATTGAGTCATTTTGAGTCGAAAAATTTGAGAATTCAAGCTAATTTGAGCCATTTCCAGCCGAAAATTGGCAAATTTGAGCGGTTTTAAGTCGTTAAAATGAGCCAAAAATCGAGACAATTTTCAGCCATTTTGAGACCAAAATCGTTCGAATGAGGTAATTCTAAGCAGAAAATCACCAATTTTCAGTCATTTTAAGCTGAAAATTGCTCATTTTTGGCCATTTTTCCATATAATTTTGATGAGATTTTTGGCTCATTTTTGGCTTATTTTCAGCCCGAAATCTGTCTATTTTGTTTCATATTAAGCTGAGCAATCATGAAATTTAGAACTATTTTGATCCATTTGGAATGAAAAATTGTGCTAATTTTTTGTCAAAATTCGTCGATTTTGACACTTTTTGGAGCTAATTTCAGTCATTTGAGCTATTTTGCGCTTAAAATAGTCGAATTTCGAGTCATTTTGAGTCAAAAAAGGTCAATTTTGAGCTTTTTTGATCATTGAAATGCTCCAAAAATGGTCAATTTCGAGTCATTTTGAGCTGAAAAAATCGTTGAAATTGAGCCATTTTGAGCTGAAATTGCTCGTTTTTTGTCAAAATTCGACGATTTTGACACTTTTCGCAGCTAATTTCAGTCTTTTCAAGCCGCAAATCGTTTAAATTGGGCTAGTCTGAGCTCATTTCATTGCTCAGAATTGCTCGGATTGCTCAGATTAGACTCATTTTGACCAAATTTTGGCCTATTTTTGGCCATTTTTAGTCAGAAATTGATGATTTTCAGACTATTTTCGGTCAAAAATCACGAAAATTCGCTCGAAATTGACCCTGATATTGCTCATTTTCAGCTATTTTTAGCTAGTTTTAGCGATTTTGGCTCATTTAAAGCCGATTTTTGATGATTTTTGGCTCATTTTGAGGCGATATAATTTCCTAATTTTCGCCCCCCCCCCTTTTCTATTTGCCATATTTCTCTCGGGTCCCCCTTCTCTTAAGCCCCGCCCCTTTTTAAGCCCCGCCCCTTTTCCCCCATTAATACGGTTCTTTCAAAAATCCTTTACTTTCCATGTCTCCCTTTTTTTCTTCACTTCCAAGAAGTTGTGTCCCTTTAAATCCTCCCTTTCCCTTTGTCTGTGATCCTTTAAGAAAAACGGCTTATCTGGGGATTACTGTAGCCGCCCCTCCGGCTACAGTAGGCGGAGCTACAGTAATCCCCAAAAAATTCCACGTGCAATACATATAAAATTTCCCCCATTTTCTCCCCAAAAAATACACACATCGATACGGTGCTCTTCCCCCTCTTTTTTCAAAAAATTAGTTGTTTTTTCTTCTTTCATATCTTAAGGCTGAGCAATCTCGCCGGAAGCTGAGCAATCATCAGAAAGCAATTGGTCCATTTCCTCTCCTCTCTTTCTCTGTCTACTTATTTCCTATGATATGGCTATATAAACATTTTTAATATAACTCGCTTTCTTTTTCATATTTTCAGGGATCAAATTTCCTATCGATCGACACAAAAATCGAACTTCTAGGATCAAAATGGGCGGAGTTAAGGCTATTCTACAGTTTTTGGCTCGTAGCTCCGCCCATTTTGATCCGAAATCGATGATTTTTGTATCAATCAATAGGAAATTTGAATTTACACAAAATCGATGAAATTTCCTATCGATTGGCACAAAATCCGAATGTCTAGGATCAAAATGGGCGGAGTTATGTCCATTTGAGAGATTTCGGCTCGTAGCGCATTTTTTTTTCCTAGGAGACTGATTTTTGTAGAAATGGATAGGAGATTTGACTTCACCAAAATTCCGAAAATTTTCAAATTGATTGATATAAAAATCAAAGTGATTGGATCAAAATGGGCGGAGCTAGGCGCTTCTGAGTATTTTTGTCTCATAGCTCCGCCCATTTTGATCCTAGCGATGTGATTTTTGCATTAATCAATAGGAAATTAAATTTCGAACAAGCGCAATAAAACTTCAAAACGATTGGTACAAAAATCAGAGAAATCGGATCAAAATGGGCGGAGCTACGAGCTAAAAATAGTCAAATCGACAGAACTCCGCCCATTTTCATCCTAGAAAGTTTATTTTTGTACCAATCAAAAGGAAATTAAATTTTGCATAAGACCAATAAAATTTCACATCGATTGGCATAAAAATCGATTCTCTAGGATCAAAATGGGCGGAGCTACGAGCCAAAAACAGGCAAATGATCATAGCTCCGCCCATTTTGATCGTAGAAATCTGATTTTTGTACCAAAGAAGAGGAAATTAAAATCAGTACAAGATCAATTAAATTTCACATCGATTGGCATAAAAATCGATTCTCTAGGATCAAAATGGGCGGAGCTACGAGTAACAAATAGTGAAATTGGCATAACTCCGCCCATTTTGACCCTAGAATCACGATTTTTGGATCAATCGATAGGAAATTAAATTTTAAACAAATTTTGTAAAACTTGAAAATTACATATAAAAACTAGATTGAATCGCGCCGAAGGCGCACCAACTTGCTGGTGACCTCTGATAGATTGCTATAAAGGAAGAGGGAAGTGTAGGAAAGAGCTCCTAGAGATCGAGCTTGAGGTCTAGATGGAGCCTGGAGCCTGGAGCCTGGAGACATCCATTATGGATCGTATGCTGGAGCACATGGACACATGGACATGGATCATTTATGAACCAATCCGACGATTTGAAGAATGTTCATCAGCGAAGTTCAAGATAATGGATTCAGACGATTCAGTGTTCTGCATAATTCAGACTGAAAATAAGGAAACGGAGCTTCAGAACTTGTTGATCTTGCCATTTTTCGTTTCTGAAATAGTTTTTATGATAAATCAGCCATTTCGCACAGAATCGATAAAATTTCCTATCTGATGGTACAAAATTCGAAATTCTAGGATCAAAATGGGCGGAGTGATCTCAATTTGACGATTTTTGGCTCGTAGCTCCACCCATTTTGATCCTAGAGCTTTTATTTTGTGCTAATAGATAGGAAATTTAATTTCACACAAGATCAACAAAATTTCCTATTGATTAATACAGAAATCAGATTTCTAGGATCAAATAGGGCGGAGCTATGTCTATTCAACTGTTTTTGTCTTGTAACTCCACCCATTTTGATCCTAGAGATTTGAAAATTGTATCAATCAATAAGAAACTGAATTTTGCATACGATCAATAAAATTTCTTATCAATTCATATAAAAACCAAATCTCTAGGATCAAAATGAGCTGAGTTATGACTCAACTACAGTTAAATTGGCATTGCTCCGTCAATTTTGATTCTAAAAAGCTGACTTTTGTACCAATCGATAGGAAATTGAATTTTGCACAAGAACAATACTATTTCACATTGATTGGTACAAAAATAAACTTTCTAGGATCAAAACGAGAGGAGCTACGAGCCAATAACTGTCAAATAAGCATATCTCCGCCCATTTTGATCCTAGACATTTGAATTTTGCACTAATAGATAGGAAATTTGATTTTACAAATGACCAATAAAATTTCAGTTGTATTGAGCCAAAAATCAAACCTCCAGGATCAAAACGGGCGGAGAAATGCCCCAAAATCGTTCAAATTGAATTAGCCCCGCCCATTTGGATCCTAGAACGTTGATGTTTGTACCGTTCGATTTGAAATTAAATTTTTCACAAGACTAATTAATGTTTCTATCGACTGTCACAAAAATCAGGAGAATAGGATCAAAATGGGCGGAGCTACGCGCCAACGACACTCAACTGTACTTAGCTCCTCTCATTTTGATCCTAGATCATTGATTTTTGCTGCAATCAATGAGATTTTTAATTTTGCACAAGGTCCATAAAAGTTTTAATCGATTGGCACGAAATCCGAATGTCTAGGATCAAAATGGGCGGAGCTATGACCCAAAAACAGATAAATTGGCATTGCTCCGCCCATTTTGATCCGAAATCGCTGATTTTTGCACCAATCGATAAACAATTCAATTGAAATCGAACAGGCTCCATGTATAGTGGATTAGTAAAAAACCGTTTTCGATCAAAATGGGCGGAGTTATGACCGAAAATAGCAAGGTAGCCTTAGCTCCGCCCATTTTGATCTAAAACCTAGAATTTTTGGATCAATCGCTCATAAGTTTGATAGCTAATAAAATGATGTTATGTAAAACTAAATTACCAATCGATTGATACAAAAATCAAACCTCTAGGATCAAAATCCAATTTTAATCGTTCTCACTCATGGCCTAGAAATCCCCAAAACTAGTCCCCCTCGCCAATCAAATCGTTGAAAAACCAGAAATTCATAGAACTCGGCCCATTTTGATCCGAAATCAGAGTATTTTTCTCAACATTCTATTTTTTTCAGTTCAAGACTGATCCTATCTTTTCGCTGCTTTTTTGTTCTATGTATTCCCAGGCTCCGCCCCCTTTCTCTCCTCCAAAATAAGCTTTTTTTTGAAGATTTTTCAAGTAGTAAACCTCCCAAAAAGGAGTGAGTTTAGAGGAATTTTTGAATTCTTTTTTTTTCGATTTCTTCGTTTTGGTTTTTTTTCCCATGGGAAGATAAGAAGAAGAAGAAGGAGAAGAAAAAGAAGAAGACAAAAGAGAGAAGATGTGGAGCGTTTTCTGGGATTTTAAAGGGAAAAAGAAGCGGGGAA